ATTTAGTTGCCTTATTGTGGAAGGCTGGTCAGTAAATTTGTGCTTCCTGTCATAAGCAGTGTATCTGTATGGGAGTTTGATTTTGAAGGGTCAGCAATGGAAGTTGTTCTGTTATGGGAGCAAAGTCTTGACTAGTTTTGAAAAACTAAACACGTCCTGGATCAAGCCACATTCTTCATGTCCTGATTATTAGCTTTCAGTATTTATTAATTACGATGTTATGAAGCTGCAGTTATCGTAAAACCGGTTAATCCCGATATCCCTATTCTGCAGACATCATCCGAAGGTCATGTCTGAAAATGGCTTATGATTTACCCTCATCACAGATGGTTTAACCATCAGGAGCAATTTGACTTCCCCAAGGACTGGATGATTGTAAGATCCAACCACCAACATGGGTTGGATAACCCACTATCTCTTGAGCTACACCTGCCACAAATCAAGGTTAATCCACCATTGAAAAATGTCCCCAAGAAATACACCATTTCTGCCCATTTGTTTGATAAAGATGGTGATGAACATTGTTGACAAATCAAATGGAATATCTAATAGAAAAAGCATAGAAGGGAGAGCTGGTATGGCAGGAGAGCACCCTTACACAGGACCCTTATCTGATTATTTCTGTGTCTTAATGGTCAAATGGAGAAGAGCTGTTTGAAATTCAGTTGCACTTTGACTAATTAAAGTGAGGTCATACATTCATTTCCTGTCTCTGGTTATGGTCTCTGGAGTTGTAGGCAGGGATGAGCAAAGATTCATCCAAATTATTTCAAAACAAAATCCAGAATACCCTAATTGTAAGTGTATCAAATAAGCAGCAGCCACGCCATGTATCAAAATAAACTACTGTTTTTTTATTTTGAACATACTAAAAATTACCTTTCCGAATGAGCATGAAAATCACATTGGAAACCATATATATCAGCCTATTTTATCTATCCCTTTATCCCAAAGTGAAATAGCTGCAGCTATCTCTTCATTGCAATCTGGAAAATCCCAGGAATCCGATGGATTTCCTGTAGAATTCTTAAAATTATTTCTTCCGTGATTTCCCCTCCAACTAAGTTAATTCTGTCAGATCCATTAAAACAAGGTAAACTTCCACCATCATTTAACAAAGCAATTATTATTCTCATTGTAAAGAAAGGCAAAGGCCCAACTGAGTGCTCCTCTTATAGGCCCATATCCTTGTTAAATGTTGATACCAAGGTATTGGCTAAAGTTTTGGCTCGCAGATTGGAGAACGTAGTACCATTAATTGTATCAGAAGATCAAACTGGCTATGTCAAAAACTGCTACTCATACTTTAATACATGCTGCCTGTTTGATATTGTACTGTACTCAACCTCTGATGCAATTCCTGAGTGTGTCATCTCCCTGGATGACCGTGTGGTGTAGAAGACTTGTTTTCAGTCGTTTCAACTTTGGCTCTAATTTCATCACCTGGATAGAACTATTATATCTTAGCCCTAAGGCTTTAATCCTGACAAACTCTCATCAGTCACAGCCTTTCAACCTCTAGCACGGCACTCGTCAGGGCTGCCCCTAAAGCCCATACTTTTCCATTTGGTCATAGAGCCACTAGCAATCGCATTCCGCAGTAACTAAGACATTTCAGGGATTTAGAGGAGTGGAGTCGAACATTAAGTGTCCATCTATGCAGACAATCTTTTTTCACATCTAGCCCAGTTCCCTATTTACCACCATGCTGTCAATACTCCCCAAATTTTGCCAGTTTTAAGGATATAAACTAAATCGGCACAAAAGTTAACTTTTCCCTGTGAATGAAGAGGCTCTTGCATTGGACTACACCACCCTTCCCTTTAAGATTGCAGAGAAAGGCTTTACTTACCTTGGCATTATGGTGACAAGAAAACAGAGTTTTTTTAGGGAAGATTTTCATTCCCTATTACACCACGTGAAACAATGCCTGGTGTAGTGGTCGCCCCTATCTACAACCTTGGTGGGCTGAATTAATTCTATTAAGATAAATATTCTTCTGACTGCCCATCCTTGGTGAAGATGGAGTTGAATTTGTTGTAGAGGAAGTATTACATGTTTTTATCTTTTTATTAATAACAGATTTGCTTCATTCGAGCAACTTTCTGAAAAATGTGGCCCTCCAAACACTAACTTCTTCAGATATCTGCAGACCAGACATTTTCTCGACACTGAGATACCAATTTTCCCAGAGGCTCCTAAATCAAACTCCACTGAGGTGTGGCTCAGGTTAATCCCATTGCACAGAGGTCATATTTCAGTTATTTACGACAAGCTGAAAAACGTAACAAGTGTTCCTCTCAACAAAATAAAACCGCCTGGGAGAAGAATGGGACCTTAATTCTTCAATAGAATGTGTGGGACACAAGCTTCAAATTGGTTAATTCAACATCCCACTGTGCTGTCACTGTCTACTACAGTTTAAGGAGGTAGACAGGGCCCACATGTCCAAAGCCCTTGTCCTAGTCAAGGAAAATATTGGAGGGTCTTTTTTTCCAAACTCTTTCTTTAATGCTTGAGCTTATTGTGGACCCTAACCCTCTGGTCGCAGTTTTCTGCACTACGTCGACCTCTCCAGGTCGACTTTAAAGTCTGTTTTGGGTTTTGTTTTGTGTATCATTGGTCCCTTAGTTGTCCTCTGCTAGTACTATACATTTTTATGAACGAATTATTCTCTAATTGAATGTCTTTTGTAGTTTTAGCTTCTCTCTCT